ACCAATAACGATCCTCTAATTCTTATTGTAGATCTTTCTTACCAATCAGTGGTTCTTAATACTGATTCATTTTGCTCCACTAAAATTTGTACTAGGGTGAATGGCTAGCCTACCCTCTTAATTTTACTTATCCTGCCAGGATAAATTTTGTGTATAGTACCTTTATGTATTTAAGTATTTCATTTGTTTGAGAAAGCGTCCTAGCTTCCAATCACTGCATTTTCAATTATTTGAAAATTGGATTTCAAAATTTTCAATCCAGCACAGTAATCTCATCACCTTTCACATTTGTGTTGCATTTTCCCCAGCATTGAAACAAATGGATAAACCACTAATCGTGAAAGGACTAACTCTGCAATAAAGCACTAAAATACTTAAATTGAGATATATTGTGGAAAGCTGTCTTGACATACCTCAACAACTTTATTATCATTGAAGCAATCTAATTCTCAAAAAGCTGAGGCTCATCAAAGCTGTGTGAAATTTAGTTATTATCAGTTGATTAATAGTTTTAAATTAATTCTTACTTATTCAGACATCCAACCTTCAATGACAGGACAAAATAGACCACTTTACCATTTAGAACAAACAGAACTGCCTTATTGGGATTTTTTTAGCTATTCCTAATGGGACTTTTCCTTGAGTTGTACCTGGTCTTTGGGAATGTCTACTTTGTCATGCATGATAAGAAGGGCATTTAAAATTTCTATCAGCTTTAATGGGGTAATTATCACTAACTCCAACAAGTGGATTTAAATTTCTAAATCAGAAAACTATTCTAAAGGAGGGCAGCTAACATAACTAAGACTGTGAAGCCAATCAAAGACCCCGGAAAAATCTAAGTTTCAAAGGATACGGCTATTTCAGTGTCTGACAACTACTGCTATAGTTTTTAAGGTGTCTGTATCCAAACAACATCTGAACATTTATCTCTCTATACTCTTCCTTTTCCAGTTTACTTCCCATTTCTTTTTCCTACAGGTCTCTCAGAAGCATGGGAAATCCAAAAAATCGTTCAGTATTTTCTTTTTATTAGATACCAGATGCAGTTAGCATTCTCCCCTTTGCTCACATACTAATGCCCCCAAAATATCAAAACTTTGAAATAGTAAAGTAAGGATGCAATAGTATGTTGCATCTGGGATTTTTCTATTTTGTTTGGGGGAGGAATTATAATTTTATCTTATTTAAAAGTTTGTGAGTTTTTTACTTTTATTAAACTAATACTACAATTCTTATTACACACACAAACATAGATATAAAACGATGGAATTATACAACAATACACTGCAGCTGTATAAACTGAAAAATATTTTCAGATATCTTAGTAGTTATTCTATGGCACTAAATATAATAGAGAGCTTTAGAGGTATATAATAGGGTTTCAGAATGGTAAAAGCCCGATAACTTTTCCATCAAACCGCAGTCTGTCTCAGACAAAAATATCCTAACCACCCCCCCATTGATTTGTGCTCTTACAAAATATTGTGCTATCACAAACTAATACAAAGTACCAACTATATGCAGAAGAAATACACGCATTTTACTCGTCTTTGTATTGCTTAGAATGACATCCTGATGCTATCATTCAGCTCATCATGACATTCCATCAATCAAACCCCAGTTTTAATTATACACCGTTCTGCTTTTTCTCTCAGAGCAAACACAGAGGACATGCAACGATCTATTTCAATTAAAATACATACTTTATAGAATTAAAAATAGGTTGGGAATCACTTTAAAATCAGCTATCAGCCTGTCAATTAATGTTCTGAACCTCTGCTATTGACCCAGTACTGTACAAGCTGTTATTATGCGCTGTCCTACATATCATCTGTTCCCCGTGCCGGTCTGTTCCAGAAAGACAGACAGCTGCAAGCGTCTATCCCTGTTCAACCTGAGGACCATCTGACTTTAATTGTAGCACACAGCTTGATGCGGGTCTGGTTATGAGAAGCCAAAGTATCACACTGTAATAATCTGGAAAAGCAGAAGCCTGCCAACACAAGGCTGCAAACAGGGGCTTGGGCTGTCTGGCTGGCTGACGGGCTGCAGGAAATATGATTAATGAGCAAGGTATAATGATATCAGGAACCCGATTAGCACCACAAAAAGGTCACAGATCAAAGTAGTATGCATTTCATGAGCTCCAATCATTGTAGAAGATCTGCGGACTTAAAGAGGTAAACTGGAATGCAAAGGTAAAAAATATCTATGTGTGATAGCTTACAAAATGAGCACTTAAAATACTATAATCACTATTTTGTCTGAACCAGGAAGCTGTAAGGAAATATTAGCTGAATGAATCAGCCCAAGCCACATTGTAGCAAGCTCTTTTTTGATTGTATTTGTGAGGAAATGAGGTTTAAGCATTCTTCCTAAACACACCTATTCTACTTAAAAATAAAATGATGCTGATTTGATGCTGATGCTATCCAATCCACCAAGTATTAACAGGAAAAGGCAATTTAATATTTGCATGTAATTTTCTCAGTTTTATTCCACTGCAAAACCAGCAGATTCCCGAGGCCATCACCCATACCAGCACTCACAGGGCCACCACCACCATGATAAGGTTAACTAGGGCACACTAAATCAGTTAACGCAATTCATTGGCACAGAGGTTAAAATTTAATGCTACCAGACTGACCAAAACTGGATACCTGAATTATAGCAACAGTATCAGGGACCTGGTGTCACCACAAGGGATGGTGTCTGACACACTTTAATACACGATCACTTGGTAAATTGTTTCTTATTTTTGTAATTAACTTCAGCCTTAAAAAAAAATATTCTGTTCTGTCCACTCATGTGATACTTGAAAATTGCATGTTCCTGTAAAAGTTCTTTGTTCTGAAAAACTCTAATTTATGGCCAGCTTTGTATGTTCTTTCAATACGCCATTTGGTAAGTGGTGCTGCAAGGTCTACTTCCACAGCAGAAGTTATGAAGCCAAGCAAAGTCTTTTTGATTAAAATAGTTTCAAAATTCACAATCACTAATGAATAATTACTTGGGGGAAAAAAAGTAGATGAGAAGGAAACATTAATTTTGTTTAGATAATAAATATGGTATTTCAGTTTCATAAGAAATGCTGAGTGAAATTAAGGAAATGACAAAGTAATTTTAATCTTCATCACTCAAATATACAAAAGTTAACATACTGCTGTTTTCACATTACGTTTTCTTGAAATGAAAGTTTTGGATATGTAACAAGCACTTCCCTCATTCTAGAGTGTTCTGAACTGCTTTTTATCAGGATTTAATAAAATAAAGATGCACTTATTGTGGATTGTACATAAAAAGAAAAAAATACATTTGGAATATGGAATGAGATCATTACTCTAAGAGAAGACTTTAAAGGGATTTTCCATTTTGTGCCCAAGAGTTTAACAGTAATAATCAAAAAGCAGC